ATTTAAATTCGCTTACTTGAATCCACAAAACGGCGACCCAAAACACATCCATTTTGAACTGGGTCAGTGGTATCGGAACCGGTGCGTCGTAAGAAAAATCACCACCGTATCCCCGATTTTACATAACTCTTCCCGGAACGTGCCCTGTTTTCCGCTGACGTACTAACGGGTACTGGAGGGGAAGAGCGACGGTTTCACGGACTGCCAACGCGAAGAAAAAAATAGAGAGGAGACGCCGCGACGCCGTTCGGGGCAATGCGGCACCGGTCGATGGCGCAGGCGTCGTCGGCGTCGGTGCGTAGTTTATACACTGCCCCAACGAAAATTTCCGGTTAAAGTAAGGGGTAGTGAATCATGTGTTTTACTGGTTGACGGCCTAATTACCTCTGAAATAAAACATCTTGTTAGCAGAGCTGCAACAAGTCAGTTTTAAAAAGTCTTAAGTTATTTCTGAAATCAAAATGATTTAAGTCTTAAGTTAAATTCAACATAAAGTTCAAATGATTTGTCTTAAGTCTTTGACTTAAATCATCTTATTTCATGTCAAGTCATTTTTGTAAAGACTTAAATCAATCAAGTTTTTTTTACATAAATCATGATGATCTGCAAGTTAAGTCAGTAAAATGATTAAATCAGTATAATTACCCTCAAATCAAGACAACCAGAATTCATTTTAAGTGCCTTTTTTTAAATGTTCTTTTATTACCAATTAGGCGATTTTCTCACTAAGTATCATATTTAATTTATTGTAGATACAGATGGGAGTAAAACCACATAAAATAAAACAGTTAATTTTCAGAACAACTACAAACACAAAAATATGTTTTTTTTTAATAAAATTTAATCGATTCTGTAGTACTTTATATGTATTCATTACAGGATAGATGTCATCGAATATATGTCTTTTAAAAAGTGGTGATGTGTTTTGATCACTATGTAATATATCTGTTAGGGTTAAAGTCCAATGTCCGGTTAATATCGACATTAACACGTTAATGTTTGGGTTAGGTTATGTTTTTGGGTGATTTGTTGTGTGTTATTATCGAGATTAACCGGGTAATGTCGCCATTAACCGGACATCGGACCTTAACCGTAACATATCGATGTCATAAGCTAAGAGCTGGATGGCATAAGCTAAGGTACTCTTGAATATATTCGAGATTAATTTTTTTTAGTTTGTCTTTCGGGCTACATAACGGAGTCGGGGATTCACTTGAAAGGCAACAGACTCACTACGCACGCGTAACACGAGAAATAATCAAAACCGATTCCGAATAACTATAATGGTATTGAGCATTGTTTTTTATTCTGGTGCTTGGCTGCCTCTTAACAGTTTAAAAAGAAATGCTGCTGTTAAAAATTTATCATAAAGATCTGACTTAAGTCTTTTATAAAAAGACTTAAATATTTTTCTATTTCGGAATAAAGATTTAAATCACAAATCATTTTCAAAAAGACTTAAATTTTAAGTTTTAAGCATATATAAAGGAAAATAATCTTCTATTAGTCTAAGTCAGCTTTCAAAAAATGACTTAAAACACAACTTAAAATCAAATGACTTAAGTCATTAAAACGATTTAATTAAGTTTTCTGTGAGCTTGCAGCTCTGCTTCTTAGACCATAGATAAAGATGATTAATGTTGAAAAGGTATTGTTGAAATGTTTAAAATATATAAACAGGGTGTTTCAAAACAAATGCGAAAAACTTCAGGGGGTGATTCCTTGTTCAAAATAAAGGGTAGTTTGCTTCATAAACGTTGGGTCAAAAGTCAACCATTAGGGAGATATCGCGGTACAAAGATGGCGGAAAAATAATGTTCTTATTTTTTATCTTGTTTATCTAAAACGAAAAGAGATAGACTAATGAAATTTTATGGAAGCATTACTGTTATGAAAACACACTTTCTGGTAATTTTTTCACTTTTTTAAAATGAGTGGAAGGGGTTGAAATAAACTACCCCTATCATTCTTGTTAACGAAATTTAAAGAAAAATCTTATGAAACACATGCAAAAAAATTAATTTGGATAGTTTAGTTTGTTTAGAAACTTTTTTATCTCTTGTATTTTTTTTATAAAACTCCTGTATTTTTTTTATAAAAACCGATTTGAAATTAAAAAATAAAATGTAAAGCATTACATGTCAGGACTAAAAATATTTTTAGATTAAGAATCTAGTGATAATAATGATAATAATAATAATCTAGATAATAACGTATTGCAGTAGGGTAATGGTCAAATAAAACAATATTAGAAACATCCTAAAAAGTGACAGCGGCCGACTAGATTTTTTCCTAAAAAAATTACAGCTGCCCACTAGATTCTATATCTAAAAATGTTTTTTGTCCTGACATGTAATGCTTTACATTTTATTTTTTAATTTCCAATCGGTGAGTTTTATCAAAAAAACACAAGAGATAAAAAAGTTTCTAAATAAACTAAACTATTAAAATTATTTTTTTTGCATGTGTTTGGTAAGATTTTTCTTTAAATTTCATTAACAAGAATGATAGGGGTAGTTTATTTCAACCCCTTCCACTCGTTTTAAAAAAGTGAAAAAATTACCAGAAAGTGTGTTTTCATAACAGTAATGCTTCCGTAAAATTTCATTAGTCTATCTCTTTTCGTTTTCAAGATAAAAAATAAAAACATTATTTTTCCGCCATCTTTGTACCGCGATATCTCCCTAATGGTTGACTTTTGACCCAACGTTTATAAAGCAAACTACCCTTTATTTTGAACAAGGAATCACTCCCTGAAGTTTTTCGCATTTGTTTTGAAACACCCTGTATATTTAGACAGATGGAGCAGGTGCCTTTATTATAAAATCTAAATTTTCAAAAAAATCCTATCACTGGTTCTCAATAAACGTCTAACGTGCCATGGCCGTGAATCACCCTGTATATAGGGTGTCCCACTTAAGATGGATACAAGCAAATATCTTGATTGTTTGTTGAGCGATTTTTTTCATTTTTGGCAGGAGGTTGTATGGCTATAAGACGTACATTTTGCCCAGGGTAAGAAATGCGATACCTCATAGACGTACGTTTTAATGGGGTTTGATATTTTTCGAGTCAAGAGTAAACTACCCTTAGGACAGTATTTATTTCAAATCTGATAAATTATATTGAATCCTCCTTACCTAAGATACTTAAGTTCTAATTTTGATAAATATTGATACAGGGTGTGTCATTAAAATAAGACATTTTTATTTTTATTATTATTTTTTTAAGTACTTACGACGCCACTGGATAAACAACTGGTTTATTATCAATAACCAATTATAACCAATTATCAAAATTAGAACTTAAGTATCTTAGGTAAGGAGGATTCAATATAATTTATCAGATTTGAAATAAATACTGTCCTAAGGGTAGTTTACTCTTGACTCGAAAAATATAAAACCAAACCAAACCAAACCCCATTAAAATGTACGTCTATGAGGTATCGCATTTCTTACCCTGGGCAAAATGTACGTCTTATAGCCATACAGCCTCCTGCCAAAAATGAAAAAGATCGCTCAACAAACAATCAAGATATTGGCTTGTATCCATCTTAAGTGGGACACCCTGTATATAATATTATTATTAATAACCAATTCTGGCTGTTATGAAAGACAAATATTTGAATTATGAAGTTTTTATAGGTATCATTTTACGCGTATCATAGGTTCGCCATCACCAATACCGTATGATCGAGGAAATGACGATCGATGACAGTCCACATATAACTTTAGATATAAAATTACAACGATCTTCATTTCATAGCCATCGCTGACGCAGTTCTTTTTTCGATCATATTGTATTGTATATGTTGCGGTTAAGGTCCAATACCCGGTTAATGTCGACATTACCTGGTTAATCTCGAGAATAACACAAACAAAAACAACCAAAAACAAAACCAAACCCAAACATTAACCTGTTAATGTCAAAATTAACCGGATATCAAATAAACGGTGACAGAGATAGCTTGAAAATAAAGATCACTGTCTTTTTGTATGTAAAATTCTGTAGTAAAATTATATGATGAATGTCAGCGATCGTCATTTTAAAGCCAACTGGAGGCCATTTTTTCTCTCGATCACATGGTATAATTTAGTGCATTTTTTATTCTTCATATACCTAATATATTTTTATTGTATGTCTTCAGAGCTAAGTATTCTAGGTATGGAGAAATCTTTATTTTCTGTTAATTATTGTATACAGGCTCGGCAATAGTGCGTCGGGGACATGTAGCTCCTAGAATAAAAAACTTAGGAATTTTGTGCTAGGATAGTGTGCAGACTTTTGCAGAATTTTGGAGAGTGCAGACCTAAAGTATGTACGAGGATGTATTTGAGGAGAATATTTCAACTTCTATAGGGTGGCTCAAAAAAGTTAGTGGATTGGGATAATTTTGTTTAAATGGAATAGCCTGTATATTATTGCATTTTTGGTTTCCTTTTAGATCGCTTTACATAACCTTAAGATATGAGTAAGTATATTTCGATAGTTTCAGAGATATTAATAAGTAAAAAATATATATTTTTCAACCTTCCTTAAAAAAATTATACAAATTCAAGAACTGACCTGAAATCAAAACTATATTAGGAGTTTACTTTTAGATAGTCTATACTTACCTTGCTATAAATTTCGTGTTCTTAAATCATACAAGGTGTTTATATATTCTACGCCAAACATTTTAAAATATAAAATAATTTGTATTTGCTTTTTTAAATGGAACACCCTGTATATTATTTTTTATTAGATAGAGAATTAAAAAATGAACATTCTTTGCATTTAAAGTATTTCAACATTTTTAATGGTGTCGCAGATACACGCAGTTTTATTTGATAGGGCTCTTTCAACGGTACAATACGAGAGAAAAATCATTGGGTGGCTTGGGATGACATTATTGATAAAAATTTATTGTGGCAAATGCCATATGAAATATTATATTAATATTAAATATTATTTATTATTATTAAATATTAGATTTTAAAATTAAGCAATAATATAATGTATCAAAATTTTGGCAGGGACGCAAAAATCTGGCTCTCCACTCCACAGTGATTTGATCCTCGCAATATTTTAAAATATCCTCCATCTCCCCAATCTGTATTCCAGGTATTAGCGCACAACCAATACGGTACTCCATTTTCAACACCCCATCCTAAGATCTTTACTGCGTGTCCTCCAATGAGATGATCGCTAGTCCTTATGTAAACACCTGTATACAATGTAGAATATAGACTATATTGGAAATAAGCAGAGGGTTATTATATTAAGCCAAAATAATATTCCACAGCTTATTCCAGTACCAGATGGTTATCTGTGCCAATGTTTACAGAATATTCTGTAGACGTTGTCTTTGTTTTGCTTAATAGGCTGTGGTTGTAGTATAAATATTTAATATTATATAAAGAAGTAAGTAAAAATTATATAATAAATGAAATCATTCGCCGTGATGATTTTTTGTAGTCAAGTCTGAGTCACATAATATATAAAACAATATTCTTAAACATAAACAAAAAACTTCGGACAGAAGTAGAGAAACTTTTTAAAATGGTGTCTTTTTTGTTAACGCAGGGACTGAGGCCAATTTATGCATTGTTAAAATTAAAGATACTTAAACAGTTCTTATTTAAATGAAATCACATGTCTCACGAAAACTTAAGATTTTATTCAGTTAAATAAAAAACTACAGGGACAAAAATAGAGGAACTAAAAATTAATATAAAAATTACAAGTACATAGTTGTTGCTAACTTAATAAACTTAATAACCGTGATTAGCTATAACTTCACAACATCGCTTTGGCATGGAGTCCAATAGTTTTCTGGTTCAATGGAATTCCAGGCCTCTTTGAAAATTCTTATCAAATCTTTCTTATTGCTAATGTGATTTCGTTTTACCCGGCGATCTAGTTCCTCCCACAGGTTTTCAATGGGGTTAAGGTCTGGACTGGGCAGGAAAGTCCATAACCCTAATTTGTTCAGACAAAAACCATTCTTGTAAGACTTTCGATTTATGCTTTGGATCATTATCTTGCTGAAATATCCAGGTTAAAGGCAAATTATCAGCAGCAAACTTAATCATCACTTCCTTTAAGTTGTCCAAATACATAAATCGATCCATTGTTCCTTCTATTACATGCAGTGGTCATATACATAGCCCGAGATACATGCCATAGCCCGAGAAGCATCCCCATACCATGCAAGATCCACCACCATGCTTTACAGTGGCCTTGGTATACTGTGGATCAAATCTTTTCCCTTCTGGACGATGTATCCACGACATCGCCCGTATGACATCGGACCCAAATATATTGAATTTGTTTTCATCTGGAAACAGGACCTTTTTCCACTTATTCGTCGACCAGTGCAAATATTTGTTTGCAAAGGTAAGTCGGGCCTTTTCTGGTTCTTCTTACTGATGAGTGATTTTTTGGCTGCTCTTCTGCTAAATAATCCTGCTTCCCTTAGCCTTCTTTGGATGGTCTTAGAGCTTATATTGACACCAAGTAGTTCACTTAAAATTTCATTTGCCGATTTATGCGGATTAATTAAGGCGATTTTTTTAATTATCATTTCAATTTTTCTGGTTGTTTTCCTTGGTGGACCACTTTTTTTAATAGCGTTTAAGGAATTGCGAGTTTTGAAATTCGAAATCGTTTTGCTAATGACAGACTTATGCAAATTAAACATTGTGCTTATGTCCATTTGCCGTACCGACCAAACCATTCCGATGTGAGTTGATCATTTTTTCACCTTAAGCAAATAACTACTAAGTAGGGTCAATATTTGTGTTGGTCTCTTTATTTATGTTCCTTCAAAAATATTTGTGTCCATATTATAAATTAACACCTGATAAGATAAATTTGGAATGTGGCTAAAAATGATTGAGTATTGCTAAAAGGAAATATGTTTAAAAGAAACATTATTTTAAATATTGGAGGTTTTTGAAATTCGACGAGTTTTAAAAAGTTTCTCTACTTTTGTCTGATAGTGTACATACCATTTTTGTAACTAAAAAAATCATCAAATATATCTATAGCACCCTCAACTGGCCCATTCTCCATAATTTCCATTTGAATTTCTTCTTCTTTCAAAAACTGGTAAACATCTTGTCCAAAAGTCAGAGAGTGTTCATACTTCAATGAAGCATCTTGACATTTTCGAACGCATTTTGGCGTATCAAGGGTCAAATTTTCGCAATGTGGTCTACTTAACATATTCACATGGTGCTCGCAGGGTGGAAGTGTATAGTCTTTACAACCTTGTGAAGAATTGTATAACCCTCCTGTAACAATACCTAAAAAAATGATGTTATGAGATGTAAAAAAACGTGATAAAATATTCTAAAAGCTAAAAGTTAATCGAGAATATTGTTTAATGGGAATATAGAGATAACGACGATTTTGATTTTATGTAAATGAGCTGTAAGTATACAGGGTGTACCAAAAAATTAGGAATCCATGGGAATGTCTTTTTTTATTATTGCGTCATAATTTTTGAAGGTTTTTGTGTAATTGTGAAACCTTAGATTATTTGCTTATATACCTTTACTTTTATATACCTATTACTTTATTACTTATTTGTTCGTTACTAGACGAATAAAATAAAAAATAAGTTTTTCTTCGACTATTTTCTATATTTTGTCACTTAATCTAACTTTTTGCATATGTATGGAGAATATTTATAAATAGACGTCATGGCTGAAGAAGTTATAATAAAGTGTTTTTTCAATAACTCATTAAAAATTGCATTTATTGCTAAGTTTCTGGTATTCCCTGTATAATATAGTTTAATGCTACATTTATTATGTACCAAATTTCTGCCAATATACCCAAGCCCTTGGAATTTCTCCACCTAGGCAACCGTTTCCACATTGCCAGCAACAAGCTGTCAAATCTTCTGCTGATACAAATACTTGAAGATTTTGATTGGACTTAATGCAGATTCTGTCTGACATTGTAGCAGCAGCACTAGAAGCCTAACAGAATATAGAAAAATAGAATAGTAATAGTAATAAATATAGCATAATTCATTATTTATTTTAAAAATATTAAATTTGTTATTCAAATATTGTATAAATAATCGGTTAATACAATAATATTTTTATATATTTTTTTGGTAATAATTGTTTAAGGAATATTACCCAGCACGAGCCACAATGAGACTGGTCGCTGATTTGCTTTATGGACTTGCAATTGGGCCAAGCCAGTCTTGCATCAAAATGTTCTGGAATTACTTCAGTGTTAATTGCTTTACCTGGTTGATAAAATGATCTGGAAAAGTCTGTAGATGCCCGCCATGTTCCTAGAAATAAATATATTATATTCATTAGATATACCTTATACCGTGCTGGCAACTGTTACTTTTGGGTCGGAACTTACATGTGTGGAAGTAAATCGCATAGGGATCTTAGAGTGAGATAAATGCGACGGTTTGCTGCTGCAGCGTTGCCGGTACGCCATTCCCTATCAGGTAAAGTAAAATCACGATCGCAAACTGCTTATTTTTAAACGACTTTTTTTCGAAAATATAACTAGAAAGAATCATTAGATATGTTTCTGAGCATCTGAAATAGAATTATAAGGATATCGTTAGGGTAATCAATTATTTTTAATAGATTTTGAGATATCGATTCATTTTGAATTCAGAGTTCTAATAGCGCGATCACTGTCGAATACCAACTCAATTCCACTTATTTTTACCAAAAATACAAGTGTTTCTAACTTGCACTTAAAAATTTTGAAGCTCTGGGGAAAATTACAACGACTCGTTAAGAAATAAACAAATAAAGCATTGAGACGTAATTAAATCGTGAAGCTGAACGCATGATGTACACCTTTCTCTAGAACTTTAGGTGCTACTGCTATATCCTCTTCCACGTCTCTTGGCAATGTGCGCAGTTTCTCTGTTTATTTCGTGCGTTTGGCAACGTGTTTACTGTTCTCTCTTTGTTGAGTACATTATAAACGCATTGTACTCTTCTTACATATGGAAATCTCGACCCAAGACTACCCTTTGCCAGCACTTAGTATACTTCATTACTTATATCCAGTGGCGGCTTAACCATGAGGTCAAATGGTCAATGCCCCCCCTCTGCCCAAAAAAAAATTCAAGAAAATTAGAAAAACTTATTTAAAAAAGTATAATTTTTGTAAATCACTTTTTTTCATCCTAAAATATTAAAAACTATTCTCAATTTGTCCAATTTTCGCTTGAAAACATTTTATTTTACCCATTTTCTCTACTGACGGTCAAAATTTCATTTTGTCCTTCGTTCCCGCTATGTCTTAGTGTGCGAACACAGTGCAAGCAGGTTTGCCGCTTACTGGTAGCCAGCGCCAATCTGGGTACCTATTCTTGACATCGTAGAAAATATAATGGATTAAGGTGCGATAGATATAGTTTATATTGACCATTGACCGCGTCATTCATAAAAGGATTTGTAAGGTAGGCAACTATATACCGGGTGCGTCTCAAAAGTGGCTCACCCCTATAACTTTTTTATTTTTTCAGATAAAAAATCGAGATTTGGTATGTTAGTAATGACATAAATTAGGATTGATTGACGTATTTAATTGTTTTCGGACACTTCCTGTTTCACCGGAAATGACTACAACTTTTGATTTTTAAATGGCACCCTCGGTATTTTTTTACTTTATTCGATATAAAATAAAACTCTGAATAGAATGACATATCATATGTCAACTTTTGACATTTTCGCATATGATTTATTTGAAATTATAACTTGCAATTCGTAGCGAAAATTTGACTCGAAATATCGAAGTGTGTGGTATCAAATTATTCGTAAAAAATGCTTTTTCGAAATTTGCTAATGAGCCACCCTCGTTCCATTTGAAAAAATTGAGATATGATTAAAAATACGATTAAACATATTATTATTAGCATTTTCTAACTGGCCAGGACAAGACAATAAAAACATTAGACGATCAAATCTATTTTTCCAAGGCTCCTTGATTAAGAATTAGTGTTTTTAGCATAGCCATGGCACTCTAGGTTGAATTTTAAAATACAATTTTTTATTAAGCGAGGATGTCAAAAGTTGTCATATGATATGTCATTCTATTCAGAATGTCATTTTCTATTGAATAAAGTAAAAAAATACCGAGGGTGCCATTTAAAAATCAAAAGTTGTAGTCATTTCCGGTGAAACAGGAAGTGACCAAAAACAATTGAATACGTCAATCAATCCTAATTTATCTCATATACTAACATACCAAATCTCGTTTTTTTATCTGAAAAAATAAAAAAGTTATAGGGGTGAGCCACTTTTGAGACGCACCCGGTATACACTTGTATTTGGTAGTTTACTGACAAACAAGCATAATTTTATTTTGCACGACAGTTTCACGTCATATGTATCGTTGGTTGCCTAAAACTCACTAAAAAAGACAAAAACCAAAAAATTCACAACCAAAAAAAAACAAAAAAGGCTAACCAAAGCAACCAAAAACCTTCGTGCAACTTTGTGTCGATAGACAGTCAATTTTTGTTCGCAAGAGACTCGGCTACTATCAAATTTTCGCCACCAGTTCGCCACTAAACGTCAAACTGTTAAATAAAATTATGCGACAGACGATATAAAAAGTGGCGATTTTTGTCTTTGTCTAGAAACCAGCGTGTTATTATTGTAATTTGTAATATTGTTTATTAACTGAGAATCAATATAGTTAATTAAGAAATATTGAGTGCATTATTTCTATATAAATATATTACAGGATATAAATATATTTCAGTCGTATCGCTGGAAAAATTTCGCCGTTTGGGCAGTTTGGGTGTTTATAAAAACTCAAATTATAAAACAACCTAGGTTTATGTATCGTTTATCGCGTATTGCGTATAATGTTTGGTTTAGTCAATATAAATCAATATTTAAATTTTTAATATCGAAAAAATTTTTAGTTTTAGTTGCCGTAGCTTTGTCGTAGTCGAGGGTTTGAGATGCAGCGCGAAATTTGTATAGGCAATAATTTATAATTTTCTGGTTCTGGACAAATGATTAGCTCTTATACTGAGTGATGAACTTTGATGATGATACTGAATGATGAACTTACATAGGTGGCTGGTTTAAATTATGTGATATAATGAAAACAATCGAATAATTTATTCGACGTCAAATTTTGGTTATTGGCTATTCCGCGCTAGTGTTTGTGTTAAAATTATTGCACAAGTGCATAAAATATATTAATATCTCTGATTGACAGGGTGTTATCTAAAAGCAGCACAAATTCATTTTCAGTGCAGTTTATTAAGATAACACGCTGGAAAGCAAAATTATGTGGCTAAATTAAATTAAATAAAATAATAGCTTTTAACTCTTTTAAACTAGGTTGGTTTATGTTAAAAGTTAAATAATGCGTTTTTGCTTTCTTGATAAAAATAAGTATAGAGTATATTACGTATATTTTTAGGAAGCTCATATCAAAGCAAATAAAACAAAAATATAATATACAAAGTATCCCATTTAAAAAGTTTGAGTAATATTTTAAAAATGACAGCTTCCACTGAATAACTAGTTACACCACTGGATCTACGTGAAAAACTCTTGGTACTCAAATTAAACCATTGTGATAAGTTAAAAGATAACCAAGAAACAAGTATTTCAGAAACCAAGAAGGCCAAGACAAGTCTATGTGTTACATCGTTAGTTTCACAAAAAAGTAGCAAAGTGATGTGAAAACCGCATCTTTATTGTATATCTACTCATAAACGAGGAACAACATAAAGCACTCTAAAATGGGACACCCTGTACATTTAAACTCACCAGAAGCTATTTTTCTTAACCTGGACCATTCAGATTTATCAAAATTCTTCCCGGCTTTCCACGTATATTGCTTCTCATTTATATTATTTATGTATTGCTCTGAGAGTGGATCATAATTATTTATGTATGCATTTGCCGATAAAAGTTGTAAAAGAATTAAGTATTTCCACATGACTGTAGAAATTTTAAGAGTACTCGTAATATACTTTTATGTGAATATATAATACTAAATATATTTTTATTCGGTAGTAGTAATAATAATACGGATAAGATAAGTAGTATATTAAAAAAGTAATCTTTCAGTGATTTGCTTATTGAGCATCAGTATCCATCAATCAAAAATAAATAATTATTTATTCGGGATTGTAACAAAAATCAGAAAAAATATATTTTTTTAATATTTATTAAATAAATGATTACCCACAAAATTTGATTTCCCGAGTAACTATGATTTTTTTAACAATTTAGCAAAGTTGAAAATACTGAATTAAGATGTTTTGTGTTAAAACTTCTAAAAGAGATTCCTTCTAAAATTTTATAAAATAATAATTTAAATACAACGATTTTAAAATTAGGCCAAATAAACTAAGATTATTATATAGTCTTTAACAAATGGGCAAAAAATTGTTATTTTTTATTTAATAAAAATCAAGTTACTTTAGAAACGACAGTCAATGGTATTCCACAAATGGTACGATTCAGGAAACCCGTTGCTAAAGTCCTATATCATACCTACCATATGTTATATGTCTCTCTATTATCTAGATAATATTCAAACTTAACGATAATTTTAGAGTGGTTTCAAAAATTTTGACTTGAACTTCTTAATGATTATCATAAACCCTTCTTCTGTATCGTTATTTTTATCTAGTTTTACGACTACAACTATCAGTTCAGTTCATCTTGTACCCCAAATCAGCAACTGTGTAAATATTTTTGTCAACAGACCAAATGCTACACCTCCAAATGTTTTTTTTTCAAACGCCACAAAAATATTATTTTTTTGCCAAATGTACAGCCTCGCCACAAAAAGTATCATTTTTACTCCTAATAAAACAATATACTATTTTTTCAAACGTCACAAAAGTATTCATTTTTGTGACGTGATTGACTATACAAGTTGTTAATTTGTTTATTACTCGTGGCAAGAGCTTTATGGTTGAAATATGGCAACCTCGGCCCGCTCGTCGAGAGACGACGCGACGGACAGGACGAGTCGGCAGCTTAGCTTAGGCTATATCTGTGATAGTAGGAAGATGTTTGAAATTTATGTTAAATAAGTACAGATAAAGTTTATACTTATATATTATATATATATTATATATATATATATATTATGTTATATATATAGTATAATATATATTATATTTATATATTATATATATATTTATTTGTTTATTATATTGTGTTATTTTGTTTGGCTTCTGGTGGTTGGTTTTATTTCGGTTCTTTCGGTCCGTTTTTTTTGCTGTGTGTGTGTGGTTTTTTGAGCCTGTTTTATTTCATCCCGGCTCCTTGGCACTTGTTTCCATATTTTCGCCTTCTAACTGCGTCCTTTCTCTTTCGTTTTGTCTTTTAGGTCCGGTCTTTTCAATTCTTTCTTATTTCCTTTCGTGACTCGGGTCTTTCTTGGTTGTCACGTCTTCTCTACTGTTTTTGGTGGCCCGATTTTCTTTGGTCTTGTTTTTTCGTTTATGGCGTACTTTCCTGTTTTGATATGTTATTATACTCTGAATAATCTGTTTAATACTGTCATTAGCAACAGCAGTGTTCAGAGTGTCAAGAGGAGAAGAATTCAGTTACTTAGATTTATGCACAGTTACAGGTATAAATACTTTTTCAAACATAGTATCGAGTTCTATAGTCAACATTTTTAGTATTGCTACAACTGTAAAAACAACGAACATTGGACTGAAAAAATAGCAAAATTTATAGAAGAAGAAAGGGTATTATGCCAATAAGCAAATTAAATCTGTAGGCAGAAGTTTCTTATTTAAAAATCTGTTATGGGATATATATTAATTCTTATCTGTGCCACAAATCACTGAGAAAAATCATATGATATTCATAATATTGTTAATGAGATAATATTTAAAGAGTGTTAAAAATGAGATTATTAGTTATGAAGCCTTACCCTTTTACTTTAAGAGTGTTTGTTTCAATATTACACTTTTATTCTTTTAAACTCTATGATGAAGTTCAAAAGCATTTTGCAATGGCCTTAAATTGTGAGCCAGGATTTATAGGAAAGGTATTTGATGCAGTGAAACTTAATCAGTACCTTCCAGTATGTATTTTAGTAAGGGGATTGTCAATCCCATGTTTTTAAATAGATAAAATACAGGCCAAAGTATTACAGTTGAGAAGAAACTATTTTATCTTAAAAAAATTCTTTAAAATTCTGAGTTCATATAATCTAATTTTCTTAATAATAAATTAGGTATATGTATGTATGTTGTACATACAGAATTTTGTTATGGGCAAATAAGGATCGGCAAGCTTCTTTTGTGCAAAAAATAAATTATTTTTTCTAGTATTTAGACAAGCCATAATGTGTTTACAAACTTACCGGTAACAGTTTTTTTATAATAAAATATTTAAGAATAATTTGGGTTGTTTATCAATATATTAATGACTTGAATTTTGACAAATTGAATTTGTATCAAAATAATTTTACGAAATATAAAATTGATCTTCTATTACAAGATTTAGAGTTTTTATTGTCGACGAAAACCAGGATAAATACTAACAATAATATCCTTAATAAAACCAATGATGTTTATGTATTATGAAAATATTTGTTAGAGAACATGTTAGGTATGTACAGTTAATATTTGAAGGGACGAATAAAAAAATAAAACGAAAACATATTTTTTCTAGGTTTATATTAAAAGTACAAGGTAATTATCAAAAATAATTATGAACCAAGTGTTTTATGAATATACAACTTGAACAAAAAATTGTTTAGAACAATTTTTACCATATTTGCAAAAATTTTAAATTGAAACACGTAATTCAGTATTAGTATACATAAGTAAACATGAAATAATTGTAAATACTTATTTAATGGCATTTCGAGTGTTCATCTGTCCGTAGCGTCTTTTGTCAGAATATTCGTATATTTAGTGTTTTATATACCAATATTGTACTCAATTTTGAAACTGATGATAATTAAATAAATCATATTAATGTTCTTCAGCTATATATCTACTGATAGGTATTTATACATCCATAATAAATGATGAAAATTTCACTAAATTCAAATTGCCCCCCGTATGGTTGAAAACAGCAAATTGATATTTGATTACTTATAGATGACCACCTATATACAAAATGACACGGAGATCTGGAATATGGCGCCCAACTTGGTTAGACCTTCTGCGCATGTTGACGCTCATTCTCTATCCCTTCTATATCTCTGAATTCGACTCACGGCACTACCGACTTACCTGGTAGATGCAGTCTTTCTCTTATTTTTATGAGTCCGGTTTTGGGTTTACTGTCTTACACTTCGTAGAGTTGTCTCAGACAAAAAATTCAAGCGAATAGCCGATCAGTTTTAATTTTATTCTCTTTGACTATTCGCCTGATCGTTTGAATCGTTTCTGAGAAACCGTCAAGAGTGAGAGAGCGTCTTTCTCAGACTGGCTCACCAATGAGTCAGTCTCGCAATTGGATATACTCTTGTCGAGGGACTTCGCAGTGTAACTATTCTGAAGGAAATCCGTTTTAATATTACATAGTTAGAATTAAGAGATTCTTGGCTATTGCATATAGTGATTGCTCGATGACAGAATGTTTAACTTTAACTATACCTATTTTAGTACCAAGAATCGTTGTGTAAGTTAAACCCTTGATTATGAGTATAGACAATGGTTAAACTAAATAAAGAGAATGGAAGTTCGAAATAAGTTTTAGTCGTGGTACTGTAGAATATGGGCCGGTAGGGAAATACAATTTGTTTCTCAGGTCTCAGGTTGAAAACATTTTAATAAAGCAGTAAAATTTTGCAAGTATCAAATTTAATTGAAGTAAAAATAAAAGGAGAATAGTTTTTTGTGTTTGTCATTTTCGAAAAATAGGGCAACACTA